TTGTGTTGATCTAAAATCTAAGTCGAGAACATCGACGTGAAGTCGATACAAGTTGAAGTTGAAGTCGGTGTAGTCAAACTGAAGTCAATTGTGTTATTGAAGTCAGTGAAGTATAAGTCAGAACTGAAGTCAAAGAAGTTATTTGAAGTCAGTCAAGTCAGTCAATAAGTTATTGAAGTCGTAGTTGAGGTCATAGTGACGTAGTTGAAGTCATGTTGCAGTAAAAGAAAAGTCTTTGAAGTTATATTAAAGTCGTTGAGGTCATAGTGAAGTATTTGAAGTCATATTGAAGTTGTTGAAGTCAAAGTGAAGTATTTGAAGTCATATTGAAGTCGTTGAAGTCAAGGAAAAGTCATTGAAGTCAAAGTGAAGACGTTTAAGTCGTCGAAGTTTAAGTCAGTCAGTGAAGTCTTTTAAGTTGAATTGAAGTCAGTCAGTGAAATCTGTCGTCTAGGTCAAGTTAGTCGGCAAATGGAAGTAGTTGAAATCGTCGAAGTAAAGTTAATCGTGAATGGGAAATAAGTCGTAAATTGAAGTCAGTGAAGTTACTGAAGTCAGTTAAAGTGAAATAAGTCAAGTTACTGAAGTCAAAAGTGAAGTCAGTCATTAAGTCAAGCCAGCCAGTTTTTGTCAGAAGTCAGATAGTGAGAGCTGCTCCACTATATGATTACGCATTCAAATGTTGATTTGAAACGGCACTATAGTATTGATATACACTTACATGTCTATTCTTTTTGTGAAGCTATTTCTATGCTCTAGTAGTGTTTACGTCTATTGAGTTTATTAGGCTTTACAGATTGTTGTTAGATTAGAGTGTACTGATTTTTTATTTGGTTATGTTGTAATGTTATTTTTATATGTTGTTATGCTGCCAGACAAATGTTCAGCACGTATAAATTTGGGATTGAGGTTTTTTTAATGGAAGGTACCTCTGTCTGAATACTTGTCTGCGCGGGCAATAAATTGTTCACGTAAAGCCATTGCTTATGGTCTCGTAATACCATTTCAGACCCACTACGCTTATTCAGAATGAGACGAGATGAAGCACACACTTCAAAGAATGCCGCCACCTGAAGCCCTGATTACGTTGAATTACCTGGACAGCGAACAGCCTTGCTTAACAGAGAATTGCCCTGGTCAAGACAGCGGACGCATCGCCACCGCTTCGCCCCCGCACTGGGGTTGAATAACAGACCGCCAGCTACATACACCTACGTCGGCACATACAAAGGGTAGAAGACCCATCGTCCAAGTTCCCAGCGTCGGAACGTTACGTCATTGTTCGCCACCGCATCAGATAGCTCCAGTTCATCGTATAACCACTCTACGTGGACATCTCAGCCAGCGTTGAGTTTGTTGCGCCATCACATTGACCAACGAAAGTTACGCCTACACCCGCCTCACGGGAATTTACATCAAAACTCGCCACAACCCACCCACCACAGAGGAACGCCAGCAATTACATAACACATACACTTACACTGCTCGCAGAGCCCGTTCAACCAGTTACACATTCTACTAAGATTAGCTCAAGGCCAGTACACGACAACCGAGCCAGAACTGAGTTTCACATGATTGGATTCACACATACCATGAAACATAGACATACATTATCAAGCAGAGACACCACAGACGTCAGGATACCTACACAAGAACGAAAACAATGACATTTTTTTTTCAAGAACACAGACACAAGATTTTATGTTTTTGTAAACTGTGCTGTCCCATTTTGTATTTGATTTACATGATTGATGTTAGGGATAGAATAGAGTAGTAAGATAGATAGTTGTTGATGTATTAGATTAGTAGTAGACGCTGAAAAATATAATTTGTCAGCTACAGAAAGGGAGGGAGATATGTGATGACGCAAGATTACGTCAGACATGTTGAGCAGATATAGTTTAGCAGAAACAGACTATAGGCCTAGTTGGTTGGTTAGAGAGGCCAATGGGCGCACAGGGCTGACCGGTCACGTGGGACGGTCAGCTGACCACTGAGGCGTGGGGCAGTAGAGCGATAGGCAGGAGTTGTTAGGAAGCGGTTAGAGACGGTTGTAATTTGCATAGCTAGAGAACAGTTAGTGTTAGGATTGGTCACGGGAGTGTGTAGTTAGTAGTATAGTGAACAGTTAGTAGTAGTAGTAAACAGTAGAGAGTGTAGAATAGGCTGGTTAGATAGAACTGATTATAATTTTAATAAAGAACAATTATAGTTGAACTTGCACTGTGTGTTATTGGATTCATTCGTTCCGCCCTCTTAAAAATCCCCACCCTCACACACCCTAACCTTAACCCTAGTACCAACCAGTAAATGTCAACCACCCTAACCCTAGTACCAGCCAGTAAACGTCTACTAATCTAACCTTAACCCTAGTACCAACCAGTAACTGTCAACTACCCTAACCTTAACCCTAGTACCAACCAGTAACTGTCAACTACCCTAACCTTAACCCTAGTACCAACCAGTAACATTCCAGCAAGAAGAATGAGGCCGCCTCCTATGCCAACAACACAGCCAACAATAATTTTATCTCTGGCAGACAAGCCCTCAGTGCTGGCGTGTTTGTCTGGCACACCATCATCTGTTGGCAGGACAGTGAGACTTGTCCAGTCAATATCCAGCTCTAAAGTTTCATTCCCAGCAACAATAGTCCAGTTGGTTTGAAGCTAAGTCAAATGGGTAACAGTAACTTTCAGATATATTCAAGAAAACATCTTGACCACAACAAACACCTTGTACACAACAAACACCTTGACTTGTACACAACAAACGCCTTGTACACAACAAACACCTTGACTTGTACACAACAAACACCTTGTACACAACAAACACCTTGACTTGTACACAACAAACACCTTGTACACAACAAACACCTTGACTTGTACACAACAAACACCTTGTACACAACAAACACCTTGACTTGTACACAACAAACACCTTGTACACAACAAACACCTTGACTTGTACACAACAAACACCTTGACTTGTACACAACAAACACCTTGTACACAACAAACACCTTGACTTGTACACAACAAACACCTTGTACACCTCAAGACACTTACAGAATACATTAGGGCCAAGTAGACAGCAATCATATATATATATATATATATATAACGTCTCGCGTTTCTATAGCGACAGCCAATCTGAAACTCTAGATGACTGATTGGTTACTGTCCCCAGCAAGCTACTGTAGACCTTCGTAAAGGCAGAATAAATCGTGTTGAACAGAAGAGTGCTTGTTTTGTTGCCATTATTTGCTTGAGAATAAAAATGTGTACATCTTTAAAAGTTTACCTCTTTCTTATACTCTGTGGGTTGCTTGAATTTGAATGAACAAAAAGATGAAACAAACTTGAAACATGTTCATACAAACAAATTTAGTAATCTAAAAAAATAACTATTTAAAATATAAATAAAACATTAATACATTTCAAAAAATTAAAAAATAAAATCATACACTATTTATTAAAAATAAGTTCACAATCTTTGAAAAAAAAATTTGGAAAAAGAAATCAAGTTAAAAATCTTGAAATTAACTTTTAAATATACCAAAGAAATCAAAGATCACAATTTAAAAACAACTCCCAACATGTGAACAACGCTTTGATAGGTAATCTTAAGACAAATCTTCAATTTAAAAAAGATTTCAAATTTTACAACCCTGAAAAAAAAACCTTAATTTTTTTTTAAAGAAATCATAAAAATATAAATTTTACGAACTTAAAAAAATTCAAATTCAAAAGGAATTGAAAGTTCACAACCTCGAAAATACATTTTTTAAAGAGAATTTGAAATTCACAATCATGAAAAAAAAATCAATTTCCAGAATTAAACATGAAATAAGAGATCACAATCTTACAAAAAAAAAACTTGCCAATCTTGATAAAAAGCAAACCTTTAAAAAATATTTAAAAAACTAGAAAACAAAAAAACAAAACAACATTCACTTTCAAAGAGAAACAAATTTTAAAAGTCTTGAAACATACAATTTTAAAATTTAAAAGGATTGAAAATTCCCATTCTTGCCAAAGCATTTTCAATTATAAAAACCACAAGAAACATTATTAAAGATAGAAAATTTTAAAGGTGGTGTGGTCAAAAGGTAGAGCGTTTGACTGCTAGCCCGAAGGTATCGATCTAGACTCGTGACTACATGACGTCATTGAGTCCACCCAGCTCTGACCGAGGTTAGAGGAGCACATTCTTCTAGGCTTAGTGGTCATCACACTATCCCTTCAGATGGCGAGTTCTTTGAAATAGACGACTCTACTTCATCTGCCCTATGTGTCTTGGGTACGAACCTCAAAAGATGATGAGAAATTAAAGACAGCAACAAAATGCTAAGCAAGACTTTAGCCAGGAGATGACTGAACTAACAGACCTAACCAAATTTCATCCACAAACGAAGGCTGATAAAAATATAAATGGAAGTTAACAAAGAAAAGCAGATACCATTCATTTTATTGGCTAAAATTACATGATCGTAAGACACAGTGATGCTAAAATTATCGCAAGACCTTTGCCACTGGAAGGCCGACATTTTAGAAACAATCAGGTGCATGATGGAATTTACTTAAGAACAAACAAGGTGTATACACGGGAAACAGAAACTACAAATGGTACGATGCCTTGCTGTTGCATTGGAATATATGACACATTTATAAAAAAAATCAATAAGCTTTTCTGAAGCAATTTAACTCAAAGAAAAATCAATCATAGGCCTACCTAATAATCGCTAAGATTTTAATCCTAATGAGATAATTCAAAGAGTTAATTGAATGGCAGTCCGGCATTTTGTAGTCTGCGTTGTAGAATTCTTAAATGCATGGTTTCAATGTCTCGAAGACTTACTGTTTCAATAAAAAAAACGTAATTAGATGTAATTTTTTTTTCAAAATAAGTATTAGTAATGCGGAACAAATAAATGTTTCATACCTACTCTGAGCAGCCAGCCGAGCTTGCAAAGTGTTTATTATTATTGGTTGGCTGAAGCATTACCACGAGCTGTTTTCTCTGCTGTGTCTAAACTCCATATTTTCCTAAGCATCAAACCAAACACCATGATCATGACTAACCTAAACCCTAACACTAATACCATCATGACTAATCTAAACCCTAAAACTAATACCATCATGACTAATCTAAACACTAAAACTAATACCATCATGACTAATCTAAACCCTAACACTAATACCATCATGACTAATCTAAACCCTAACACTAATACCATCATGACTAATCTAAACACTAATACCATCATGACTAACCTAAACACCAACACTAATACCATCATGACTAATCTAAACCCTAACACTAATACCATCATGACTAATCTAAACCCTAACACTAATACCATCATGACTAACCTAAACACTAATACCATCATGACTAACCTAAACACCAACACTAATACCATCATTACTAATCTAAACCCTAACACTAATACCATCATGACTAATCTAAACCCTAACACTAATACCATCATGACTAATCTAAACCCTAACACTAATACCATCATGACTAATCTAAACCCTAACACTAATACCATCATGACTAATCTAAACCCTAACACTAATACCATCATGACTAATCTAAACCCTAACACTACCATCATGACTAACCCTGACCTTTTTGACCAGCTGCAAGTTGCGAGCTGTCTTCTCCTCGTGCAGGTAGGCGTGCATCCTGCGGGAAATGTTCAGCCAGACGGTGGCGTAGTTACTGATCAGATCAACAAAGGCTATGGTGGTGTTGGCCTGAAAACATCAGTTTAAGGTGGGATTTTTTATGTGGGTTAGGTTTTTAGGTTAAGTTCATAAAACTAGTCAATGATTAGTAAAGATTTCAACGACAAAATTTAGGCATAGACACAAAGTACATTTTAGTTTTGATCCTTAAATTTTAGGAAAGATAAAACATATGGTAACTAAGAGAAAATGGTTAAAATATGTAAGTTTTAAATCTGATGTTTTTAAGCATATTTCATTTAAGCTGTTTTGGAGATTTGTGTATTTTATTTATTTAAATTTTAAATATAGAAACTTTTTATAAAACACAGTATTCCAAAAAACTATACTTGTATCTAGAATGTTTCTAAAAATAATGAATAAAAAAAACTCTAGTTATATTTAGATTGGCTTTAAAAAAGGAGGTAACAAAAAATTTTAAAAATTAAATTAGGTAACAAACTTTTTCAATGATTTTGTCAGCAGCTGTGCCATTGGGTGCGTAGAGCACAGTGGGGTTGTAGTAGAGGTAGTGCTGTATGATGCTCAACTTGTCTCGCTGAGCTTGGGTCATCCCTAGGGCATCTGAGACAAGTTATATTACATGTTTAGCTATGGTGGGGGAATTAGGGAATGGTTACATTAAATGTTTTACTTAGGTGGTGGGGTTGTAGTAGAGGTAGTGCTGTATGATGCTTAACTTGTCTCGCTGAGCTTGGGTCATCCCCAGGGCATCTGAGACAAGTTATATCACATGTTTAGCTATGGTGGGGGAACAGTTACATTAAATGTTTAGCTCAGGCAGGGGATTACTGCTAAGAAGAAGTAAGTAACAGTAGGAATAAAGCAATTTTAAAATTTCTTCCTGTTGATCCAAAGAATGGGAGTGATTAAACTTGGTGGTGCTGGACAGGTAATACAAGGACTGCTGGGGTCAGTGTAGGGTGCTGGACTTTAAAGTGAACAACTGGCCAGGTAATACAAGGACTGCTGGGGTCAGTGTTGGGTGCTGGACTTTAAAGTGAACAACTGACCAGGTAATACAAGGACTGCTGGGGTCAGTGTTGGGTGCTGGACTTTAAAGTGAACAACTGGCCAGGTAATACAAGGACTGCTGGGGTCAGTGTTGGGTGCTGGACCTTGGAGTGAACAACTGGCCAGGTAATACAAGGACTGCTGGGATCAGTGTTGGGTGCTGGACTTTAAAGTGAACAACTGGCCAGGTAATACAAGGACTGCTGGGGTCAGTGTTGGGTGCTGGACCTTGGAGTGAACAACTGGCCAGGTAATACAAGGACTGCTGGGATCAGTGTTGGGTGCTGGACTTTGGAGTGAACAACTGGCCAGGTAATACAAGGACTGCTGGGGGCAGTGTAGGGTTATATAGGGAAAGATAAAGACAATATCTATGGGGTGGCAAGTAAGGAAAGTACAGCCCATAAGTGCTAACTCAAAAGTCTTGAGTTCAGATCCTGGAGTCCACCCAACTCTGACAAGTACCTGACTCTAGTTTAGGAAAGTAAAGGTAGCCGGGCATAGTGCTGAGCACGCTATCACTTCATATGCCAAAGTACAGGAAACAGGTGGACTCTACTTCAGCAGCCCCATGGATCATTAGGTCCAAAAGGGAAACTTTTAAGCACTAATTTATGTTGAATAGCGTTGTGATGCTCTGACTTCAACCATCGCTTAGAAAAGAAAATGTCACAAACCCTCATCAACTTTCTCTTTATATTCTTCATCTCCACCATCCTTGTCTTTCTTCCCCTTTCCTTTGGGTTGGTGTGGAGTAGTGGGGGGCGGGACCACCTTCTTGCCACACACAGTCTGGTGGAGGAAGTCCCACATCTTCATCCAGCCACTCTTCTTTCTTCTGTCTTCGCTCTAAACACACAGGTACACATTAGATACATTAGATAGTGGGGTACACATTAGATAGTGGTGTACACATTAGATAGTGGTGTACACGTTAGATAGTAGTGTACACATTAGATAGTGGTGTACACATTAGATAGTGGTGTACACATTAGATAGTCGTGTACACATTAGATAGTGGTGTACACGTTAGATAATGATGTACACGTTAGATAGTGGTGTACACGTTTGATAGTGGTGTACACATTAGATAGTGGTGTACACATTAGATAGTGGTGTACACATTAGATAGTGGTGTACACATTAGATACATTAGATAATGGTGTACACATTAGATAGTGGTGTACACATTAGATAGTGGCGTACACATTAGATAGCGGTGTACACGTTAGATAGTGATGTACACGTTAGATAGTGGTGTACACATTAGATAGCGGTGTACCCGTTAGATAGTGGTGTACACGTTAGATAGTGGTGTACACATTTGATAGTGGTGTACACATTAGATAGTGGTGTACACATTAGATAGTGGCGTACACATTAGATAGTGGTGTACACGTTAGATAGTGGTGTACACGTTAGATAGTGGTGTACACATTTGATAGTGGTGTACACATTAGATAGTGGTGTACACATTAGATAGTGGTGTACACGTTAGATAGTGGTGTACACATTAGATACATTAGATAGTGGTGTACACATTAGACAGTGGTGTACACGTTAGATAGTGATGTACACATTAGATAGTGGTGTACGCATTAGATACATTAGATAATGGTGTACACATTAGATAGTGGTGTACACATTAGATAGTGGCGTACACATTAGATAGCGGTGTACACGTTAGATAGTGATGTACACGTTAGATAGCGGTGTACACATTAGATAGCGGTGTACCCGTTAGATAGTGGTGTACACGTTAGATAGTGGTGTACACATTTGATAGTGGTGTACACATTAGATAGTGGTGTACACATTAGATAGTGGCGTACACATTAGATAGTGGTGTACACGTTAGATAGTGGTGTACACGTTAGATAGTGGTGTACACATTTGATAGTGGTGTACACATTAGATAGTGGTGTACACATTAGATAGTGGTGTACACGTTAGATAGTGGTGTACACATTAGATACATTAGATAGTGGTGTACACATTAGACAGTGGTGTACACGTTAGATAGTGATGTACACGTTAGATAGTGGTGTACACATTTGATAGTGGTGTACAAATTAGATAGTGGTGTACACATTAGATAGTGGCGTACACATTAGATAGCGGTGTACACGTTAGATAGTGATGTACACGTTAGATAGTGGTGTACACATTAGATAGTGGTGTACACATAAGATAATGGTGTACCCGTTAGATAGTGGTGTACACATTAGATAGTGGTGTACACATTAGATAGTTGCGTACACATTAGATGATGGCGTACACGATTGTGTTGGCTGTGGTTGGTAGGTAGGTGATTGTGTTGGCTGTGTTGGTAGGTAGGAGATTGTCTTGGCTGAAGTAGGTAGGTAGGTGATTGTGTTGGCTGTGGTTGGTAGGTAGGTGATTGTGTTGGCTTTAGTTGGTAGGTAGGTGATTGTGTTGGCTTTAGTTGGTAGGTAGGTGATTGTGTTGGCTTTAGTTGGTAGCTAGGTGATTGTGTTGGCTGAAGGTGGTAGGTAGGTGATTGTGTTGGCTGTGGTAGGTAGGTAGGTGATTGTGTTGGGTTAAGTTGTTAGGTAGGTGATTGTGTTGGCTGTGTTGTTAGGTAGGTGATTGTGTTGGCTGTGGTTGGTAGGTAGGTGATTGTGTTGGCTGTGGTTGGTAGGTAGGTGATTGTGTTGGCTGTGGTTGGTAGGTAGGTGATTGTGTTGGCTGTGTTGTTAGGTAGATGATTGTGTTGGGTTAAGTTGTTAGGTAGGTGATTGTGTTGGCTGTGTTGTTAGGTAGGTGATTGTGTTGGCTGTGGTTGGTAGGTAGGTGATTGTGTTGGCTGTGTTGTTAGGTAGGTGATTGTGTTGGCTGACGTTGTTAGGTAAGTGATTGTGTTTGCTGAAGGTTGTAGGTAGGAGATTGTGTTGGCTGTGTTGTTAGGTAGGTGATTGTGTTGGCTGTGTTGGTAGGTAGGTGATTGTGTTGGCTGTGTTGGTAGGTAGGTGATTGTGTTGGCTGTGGTTGGTAGGTAGTAGGTGATTGTGTTGGCTGACGTTGTTAGGTAAGTGATTGTGTTTGCTGAAGGTTGTAGGTAGGAGATTGTGTTGGCTGTGTTGTTAGGTAGGTGATTGTGTTGGCTGTGTTGGTAGGTAGGTGATTGTGTTGGCTGTGTTGTTAGGTAGGTGATTGTGTTGGCTTAAGTTGGTAGGTAGGTGATTGTGTTGGCTGTGGTTGGTAGGTAGGTGATTGTGTTGGCTGTGGTTGGTAGGTAGGTGATTGTATTGGCTGAAGTTGGTAGGTAGGAGATTGTGTTGGCTGAAGTTGGTAGGTAGGTGATTGTGTTGGCTGGAGTTGGTAGGTAGGTGATTGTGTTGGCTGTGGTTGGTAGGTAGGTGATTGTATTGGCTGAAGTTGGTAGGTAGGTGATTGTGTTGGCTGGAGTTGGTAGGTAGGTAGGTGATTGTGTTGGCTGTGGTTGGTAGGTAGTTGATTGTGTTGGCTGACGTTGGTAGGTAGGTGATTGTGTTGGCTGTGGTTGGTAGGTAGGTGATTGTGTTGGCTGTGTTGGTAGGTAGGTGATTGTGTTGGCTTAAGTAGGTAGGTAGTTGATTGTGTTGGCTGAAGTTGGTAGGTAGGTGATTGTGTTGGCTGAATTAGTTAGGTCGTTGATTGTGTTGGCTGAAGTTCTTTCTTCTGGTCACAGATGTGATAAATTGTTGTTTGTGTTATGAAGTATTAAATACATGCATGAACTAAACTTTACTTAAATTCTGTTTGAAATGTATTATGTATTTAGATTTTAACGAATATATTAAGTGACGACATTTACTGTTACGCTTCACAAATTGAAAGAAGAGTTTGTGTTCCGTTTCTTAAGCATAAAGTATATCTTATCTGGTATATGATATATCTCAACTAATTTTATTTTACAACTCTCTTGCTATTGCTATACTAATATTAGAGGGATTGATTTCTGTTTTAATGCTGCTGATTGGTATACGTCTCACACAGATCTGACGCTGGTTAGTGCTGGAGTACTACTCGCAGTCTGCTGGGCCAAGCAAATCTTTTCTTAGATGTTTTTTATGGAGAAAACTTCAAACCATCGGCTGATGATGATTCGTTTCATGAATGATTCGAAAAGAGTTTCTGGCAGTCGTTAAATAAATATAAGTAATACAAAATATTTTTTATGTAAAATTATATTTTACAATTTGTTACGTTAATCTAATTAATAATTTAATAAGGAACTTAAAATGTCTTTATATTGGTTATTAATTACTGAATTGGAAAATATGGAGTAGTGTAATTAATTTTGAGAAATTTTCTTCATTACTTACGTCACACCTTCAATGTTAGATTCTTTTGAATCTAGAGATCGTAATTAGAATCTACTTAAAATTAATCTTAAGGTTGTCAGAGTTTTGTGTTTTTCTGTCCCTGGCACTCATCATATTGGCCTACCTCGTCACTTTCTGGTACATGAGGGTTTTTTAAATCTAGTGTTATGGCGTTAGACCTGTTTCATACCTCGTTACTTTCTGGTACATGAGGGTTTTTTTTAAATCTAGTGTTATGGCGTTAGACCTGTTTCATGTACGGAAATTTGTTCTTTAGGAAATAATTTCGCATTAATATATAAAATGTTTAAATGTTCCCTGAATTTGTAGTTTTATCTAATGATTGCCAAAGTTTTACCAATTCCATGTTGCACAAAAACTAATTGCAAATGTTGCCTCTAATTAAGAGATGTCATTTCTTTATGTAGTAAAACAACCAATTGGAACAGTTACCATCTTGTGAAGATTTATTCGATTTGTCTCAACTTTTCTAACAACGAATCATATGTTTAATAAACACATAGAATGCTAAATAAACATAACGAATGTTTAATAAACACATCGAATGCTAAATAAACACATCGAATGTTTAATAAACACATCGAATGCTAAATAAACACATCGAAATGCAAACAGAACGTCCGAGTTTTCTCTGTATGCGTGGTGGTCATGTGAACGTGTTTTCTCTGTATAAGTGGTGGTCATGTGAATGTGTTTTCTCTGTATGAGTGGTGGTCATGTGAACGTGTTTTCTCTGTATGAGTGGTGGTCATGTGAACGTGTTTTCTCTGTATGAGTGGTGGTCATGTGAACGTGTTTTCTCTGTATGAGTGGTGGTCATGTGAACGTGTTTTCTCTGTATGAGTGGTGGTCATGTGAACGTGTTTTCTCTGTGTGAGTGGTGGTCATGTGAACGTGTTTTCTCTGTGTGAGTGTTGGTCATGTAAACGTGTTTTCTCTGTATGAGTGGTGGTCATGTGAACGTGTTTTCTCTGTTTGAGTGGTGGTCATGTGAACGTGTTTTCTCTGTATGAGTGGTGGTCATGTGAATGTGTTTTCTCTGTATGAGTGGTGGTCATGTGAACGTGTTTTCTCTGTATGAGTAATGGTCATGTGAACGTGTTTTCTCTGTATGAGTGGTGGTCATGTGAACGTGTTTTCTCTGTATGAGTGGTGGTCATGTGAACGTGTTTTCTCTGTGTGAGTGGTGGTCATGTGAACGTGTTTTCTCTGTATGAGTGGTGGTCATGTGAACGTGTTTTCTCTGTTTGAGTGGTGGTCATGTGAACGTGTTTTCTCTGTATGAGTGGTGGTCATGTGAACGTGTTTTCTCTGTATGAGTGGTGGTCATGTGAACGTGTTTTCTCTGTGTGAGTGGTGGTCATGTGAACGTGTTTTCTCTGTATGAGTGGTGGTCATGTGAACGTGTTTTCTCTGTATGAGTGGTGGTCATGTGAACGTGTTTTCTCTGTATGAGTGGTGGTCATGTGAACGTGTTTCCTCTGTATGAGTGGTGGTCATGTGAACGTGTTTTCTCTGTATGAGTGGTGGTCATGTGAACGTGTTTTCTCTGTGTGAGTGGTGGTCATGTGAACGTGTTTTCTCTGTATGAGTGGTGGTCATGTGAACGTGTTTTCTCTGTTTGAGTGGTGGTCATGTGAACGTGTTTTCTCTGTATGAGTGGTGGTCATGTGAACTTGTTTTCTCTGTATGAGTGGTGGTCATGTGAACGTGTTTTCTCTGTATGAGTGGTGGTCATGTGAACGTGTTTTGATGTTTATTTACAGCCTTACGTCAATGTGTTGTTATAGCAGGTAGTTGGAACAACATCAACTGACACTCAATTGGAATTGAAACGGGATTATCATACTGAGAGTGGGGCGACTTTGTCGGAAAGGGGGGAAAGAGTAGCTAGAATGGGGGTATATTATATATATATATATATATACAGCCACAAGTAGGATTAGACCTTGGTCTTCGTCTCCCGCTCCTCAACAATGGCTGAGGCGGTGAAGCTGAAGATGCCGATAAACATCATAGGATAGATCAAGGTGTAGTCCAAGAACAGGTCGCGCACCAGCAGGTGGTCAAGCTCGCTGGGCATTCTCTGCACGTGGACCTCTGGCAGCTGGTACGGTTCGTGCTGTTGCTGCTTCCTCCAGTAGTTGATGAAGATGTGGGTCAGCTGGTACGGTGGTTGTTGTTGCTGCTTCCTCCAGTAGTTGATGAAGATGCGGGTCAGCTGGTACGGTGCTTGCTGTTGCTGCTTCCTCCAGTAGTTGATGAAGATGCGGGTCAGCTGGTACGGTGCTTGCTGTTGCTGCTTCCTCCAGTAGTTGATGAAGATGCGGGTCAGCTGGTACGGTTCGTGCTGTTGCTGCTTCCTCCAGTAGTTGATGAAGATGCGGGTCAGCTGGTACTGCAGCTCAATCAGCTTATTTCTACTAATTTGATAATTTTCTTTTTCCAACTAAATCGTTGTTTTTTTAAATATAAAATTATTTGAAATAAATCTGTAAGTTTATAATATGAGCAGTATAGACAATGCACTGCAAAAATGTTAAGCTCTGGAGGTTGCGTATGATGTTGACATTTTGAGACAGTTCCTTTTCTTCATTTGAAAAAATCCAACTGTGGTTATTACACCACAACTAAAGCGTACTTGTACAGATACACTTTCTTCAAACGACCTCCGGAAGTTCCCGAAATCTCGAGCCAAATAGTTTTTCATTCAACACAACAGACCGCGCAAAAGACGCGTATTATCGCTAACATGGTGCATGCAGTCCGAGAAACAAAACATTACAATTCAGGGATTAAAGCATCATAAATCAAGGATAAAACATCATAATGTTATAACCATTGAAGAAGGCACAACTGGTTAGGTAAACTACTTAATTAGCCACGAATGCTGGATTCTTGAAACTCAGTTGCTAAAATACTATTTTAAAAACACTTAACCCAATAAACTTAATCCATAATTATTAAATCTATCAAAACTAATAAAACCCACACTTAAACTAAACCACTAATACAACATCATTTAATCTCTAGCACTGGAAGTATATGACATAATCATCTATATACTACTAAAACTCAAGTTTGTTTACATGTTTGAATATTTATTTGTTTGTTTGTCTGATTGACTACTGTAGAGGATCTACGCTATATGGAGAACTTTAAAATAGTATGTAGGTAGAGAACAATTTATGTTTTCAGACAGACTGTTAATAAAAAATTTATTTAAAGACGTTAATTAATTTATTGATTTATTCATTGGTAGATTAACCACATTAATTTTAAATTTTTCAAACAATGGCTTTACCTTGACTGAATAGTGACGTCACAAGTTTTGTTTACTTTTTAGTACAATAAGATAGTGGCTTCCATCATAGAATTTAACGCATTCTAAAGCTAATTTTCTGTCGGCCATAACTTTAACAATACGTCCGTTTGCTGTTTTTATTAAGTTCCAACACTTATATAAATTTTCAACTGTCTTTTTCATTTAGCTTTACAATAAATTTCTCTAGCTCTACAATCTGTCCAAGGAAGCTATTTATAGATCTAAAAATATCAGGTGGCCAAGAAAGTTATTTATAGATCTAGATCTAGAATATAGGTCAATCCAAAGATTAATTAGATACATAACAAAGATTAATTAGATAAAAATACAATCCATGTTATAATCATAATACATTTTTTAGTCCTTAAATACTTGATATAAATCTTTGTGATTTATCTATTTAGATCTAGATCTATCTAGCTAGAATAGGTCTAATAATGAGATCTATATTCTAGATCTAGCAAGAGTTACACAAAAACTAGACTTAAGACTAAAATTAAGCAAACGAGTCGTAGAATCTAGATCTAGATAATTCTATCTAGATCTAGATAATTTCAGACCTTCATTATTTTATATAAATATTTGTTTAGCTATGTAATTGGCTAATTTAAGATAAAATTTAATTTGAAAGTTACTACTACTAGACTTAGATCTAGATCTTCGCGCGTAAATCAAGTTGCATAAGGAGACTCAAAGTATTAAACTATACTATTAAAAAAATCATCAGTGACATCACGAGTTAAATAGCTAAGTTATAAATGTAATCAGCTTGCATGCGGTTCTAGACCAATACGTCAATGTTAATTTTTTTTTAATTTTTTTTTTAGATGTGAATGATAAATTTACTTATCTGAACTTGGCGGGATACAGGACAGGTGAAGTAGAGTTCATCTGTTTCTTTGTCATAAGCATATGAAGGGATAGTGTGGCCAGAGACATGCTCGGCTGAAATCATTTTTTTTAAACGATAAAAACATGTCTGCAACTTGGCGGCACACTGGGCAGGTGAAGTAGAGTTGAGTAGGTCACCTGTGACGTCAGTATATGAAGGGATAGTCCGAAATTGGTGTTTTCGATAAAAAACATCCTTTTGAATGTGAGGTCTGGTTTTTTGTGACGATAAGTGACAGACGTGATGTTTTTTATGGATGACCCTCGAAACCCACAGTTATCTAACTAGATAACGGGTAGTCTAGTTATATATTTAAAGCAAAACTGTTAATCATCAGACACGTAAATCACATCACTTAATCCAAACTTAATGCTAATCCCTATATTATCTTAACACTGCGCTTATATACTAACGCCATGTACATCATATGCCCAACATGCTAATGGAATAAAACTATAGGCCCACTATACTAGAGGAATAAATCTATAGGCCCACCATGCTAGATGAATAAACATATAGGCTCACAATGCTAGATAAATAAATCTATAGGCCCACAATGCTAGAGGAATAAATCTATAGGCTCACAATGCTAGAGAAATAAATCTATAGGCCCACCATGCTAGAGAAATAAATCTATAGGCCCACCATGCTAGAGAAATAAATCTATAGGCCCACCATGCTAGAGGAATAAATCTATAGGCCCACCATGCTAGAGAAATAAATCGATAGGTCCACCAAACTGGATATAGTGCTGATTACAGTGTGGACCAAATTAACACTTTAATTCTTTACTATAATTTTCTAGATTTTGGTGGGCGACAACTCTGGTTACAAGACGTGAACTCATGGAGAAAATGTTCAAGTTTGCTCTGCTCATCTGCCTTGGTTTTCTACCCGGTATGTGAGTTTCATGTAGTCAGATAGTGAATATGTGGGACACATTTTAAACTATATGTAAGTGTACTCAGATACAGAAAATGTAGGACATATTTTATACTGTATGTAAGTGTAATCAGATACTGAAAATGTAGGACATATTTTATACTGTATGTAAGTGTAATCAGATACTGAAAATGTAGGACAGATTTTATACTGTATGTAAGTGTAATCAGATACTGAAAATGTAGGACAGATTTTATACTGTATGTAAGTGTAATCAGATACTGAAAATGTAGGACATATTTTATACTGTATGTAAGTGTAATCAGATACTGAAAATGTAGGACAGATTTTATACTGTATGTAAGTGTAGTCAGATACAGAAAATGTAGGACACATTTTATACTGTATGTAAGTGTACTCAGATACAGAAAATGTAGGACAGATTTTATACTGTATGTAAATGACTTTAATTCAGAAAAAAATATTGTCAGAATAAAAGGCTGATATCACAATTCATATAGGTGATGTTCTTTTTAAACTTAACCGAAATCTGACTGAAGCTCCAACGCTAAACTAGACAACGATTTAACTCCTAAAGTTATACATAACAATATTCATACACTAAAGTTAAACATAACAATATTCCTATACTAAAGTTAAACATAACAATATACCTACACTAAAGTTAAACATAACAATACTCCTACACTAAAGTTAAACATAACAATATTACTACACAAAAGTTAAACATAACAATACTCCTACACTACATTAAACATAACAAAATTCCTATACTAAAGTGTTAAACATAACAATATTCTTACACTAAAGTTAAACATTACAATACTCATACGCTACAGTTAGACATAACAATATTCTTACACTAAAGTTAAACATTACAATACTCATACGCTAAAGTTAAACATAACAATACTCCTACACTAAAGTTAAACTGAGAAGTAGTCTAGACCTGATCCGTTACGTTAAACCTCGCCATAATTCAAGCCCAGCCCTATAAGTTAAACCTCGTCATAACTCTAGCCCAGCCCTAACAGTTAAACCTCGCCATAATTCTAGCTCAGCCAGTGGCGTAGGCAGGGGGAGTTAGGGGTTCTGACCCCCCCCCCCCCCCCACCCATAGACCCTAGGTAGATACATTAAGGTTGAGCGGGGGGTGCAAAATCGAAAGTCTGAGGGGGAGGGAGCAAATGAAAAGTTTGATGGAGGGGGGGTGCAAATGAAAAGTTTGAGGGGGTGCAAATGAAAATTTTGAGGGGGGTGCAAATGAAAAGTTTGAGGGGGGTGCAAATGAAAAGTTTGAGGAGGGTGCAAATGAAAATTTTGAGGGGGGGTGCAAATCAAAAGTTTGTCCTCGGGGGCCAGGGAGGGACGCTACGCCTCTGATATATACATTTATATTGCGGGAAAAAATTTGAGCCCCACACCCCATGAGACGATCCTGGCTACGCCACTGAGCCCAGCCCCATAAGTATTTGATGTTGTTATACACAGATGTCGTCAGTAGCACTGGTTCCCTTGATCTGAGTATTGTCGGCTATGAGAAGGAATGCACGAACGACTCCAACTGCAAGAACACTGGCTTAGTGATTGGGACTTTCAAAGACAGAGCTGCGAGCAAAGAGGGCAGGTGCACCCACGTCACTTTGCTTCAATGTGATCCAAGTGCGGACTGTCGCCAATCGTCATCATGGCAAGAGGTGGGTAGCCATTTGTGACATTTCTAGTTAGCGTGTTTGTGACATTTCTAGTTGGCGTGTTTGTGACATTTTTAGTTAGCGAGTTTGTGACATTTCTAGTTGGCGAGTTTGTGACATTTCTAGTTGACGTGTTTGTGACATTTTTAGTTGGCGAGATTGTGACATTTCTAGTTTTTGTGTTTGTGACATTTCTAGTTTTTGTGTTTGTGACATTTCTAGTTGGCGTGTTTGTGACATTTCTAGTTGGCGTGTTTGTGACATTTCTAGTTGGCGTGTTTGGCTAATGCTTTGTTCTCCCGAAACTTCAACTTTCCATAATCCTAGCGTTAATCTTCTTGATCCCAAGACTACACAATATATGCCCCGTGTATATTCTGCTCTCTGTATTATCCCAAGCTACACAATATATGCCCCGTGTATATTCTGCTCTCTGTATTATCCCAAGCTACACAATATATGCCCCGTGTATGTTCTGCTCTCTGTATCATCCCAAGGCTTCACAATATATGCCCCGTGTATATTCTGCTCTCTGTATTATCCCAAGCTACACAATATATGCCCCGTGTATGTTCTGCTCTCTATATCATCCCAAGGCTACACAATATATGCCCCGTGTATACTCTGCTCTCTATATCATCCCAAGGCTACACAATATATGCCCCGTGTATACTCTGCTCTCTATATCATCCCAAGGCTACACAATATATGCCCCGTGTATACTCTGCTCTCTATATCATCCCAAGGCTACACAATATATGCCCCGTGTATACTCTGCTCTCTATATCATCCCAAGGCTACACAATATATGCCCCGTGTATATTCTGCTCTCTATATCATCCCAAGGCTACACAATATATGCCCCGTGTATATTCTGCTCTCTATATCATCCCAAGGCTACACAATATATGCCCCGTGTATATTCTGCTCTCTGTATTATCCCAAGCTACACAATATATGCCCCGTGTATGTTCTGCTCTCTGTATCATCCCAAGGCTACACAATATATGCCCCGTGTATACTCTGCTCTCTATATCATCCCAAGGCTACACAATATATGCCCCGTGTATACTCTGCTCTCTATATCATACCAAGGCTACACAATATATGCCCCGTGTATACTCTGCTCTCTATATCATCCCAAGGCTACACAATATATGCCCCGTGTATATTCTGCTCTCTATATCATCCCAAGGCTACACAATATATGCCCCGTGTATATTCTGCTCTCTATATCATCCCAAGGCTACACAATATATGCCCCGTGTATATTCTGCTCTCTATATCATCCCAAGGCTACACAATATATGCCCCGTGTATATTCTGCTCTCTATATCATCCCAAGGCTACACAATATATGCCCCGTGTATACTCTGCTCTCTATATCATCCCAAGGCTACACAATATATGCCCCGTGTATATTCTGCTCTCTGTATCATCCCAAGGCTACACAATATATGCCCCGTGTATATTCTGCTCTCTGTATCATCCCAAGACTACACAATATATGCCCCGTGTATATCCTGCTCTCTGTATCATCCCAAGACTACACAATATATGCCCCGTGTATATTCTGCTCTCTGTATCATCCCAAGGCTACACAATATATGCCCCGTGTATGTTCTGCTCTCTGTATCATCCCAAGGCTACACAATATATGCCCCGTGTATATCCTGCTCTCTGTATCATCCCAAGGCTACACAATATATGCCCCGTGTATATCCTGCTCTCTGTATCATCCAAGGGCTACACAATATATGCCCCGTGTATGTTCTGCTCTCTGTATCATCCCAAGGCTACACAATATATGCCCCGTGTATACACTGCTCTCTGTATCATCCCAAGGCTACACAATATATGCCCCGTATATACTCTGCTCACTGTATCATCCCAAGACTACACAATATATGCCCCGTATATATTCTGCTACACAATATATGCCCCGTGTATACCCTGCTCTCTGTATCATCCCAAGGCTACACAATATATGCCCCGTGTATACTCTGCTCTCTGTATCATCCCAAGGCTACACAATATATGCCCCGTGTATACACTGCTCTCTGTATCATCCCAAGGCTACACAATATATGCCCCGTATATACTCTGCTCACTGTATCATCCCAAGACTACACAATATATGCCCCGTATATATTCTGCTACACAATATATGCCCCGTGTATACCCTGCTCTCTGTATCATCCCAAGGCTACACAATATATGCCCCGTGTATACTCTGCTCTCTGTATCATCCCAAGGCTACACAATATATGCCCCGTGTATATTCTGCTCTCTGTATCATCCCAAGGCTACACAATATATGCCCCGTGTATACCCTGCTCTCTGTATCATCCCAAGGCTACACAATATATGCCCCGTGTATATCCTGCTCTCTGTATCATCCCAAGGCTACACAATATATGCCCCGTGTATACTCTGCTCTCTGTATCATCCCAAGGCTACACAATATATGCCCCGTGTATATCCTGCTCTCTGTATCATCCCAAGGCTACACAATATATGCCCCGTGTATACCCTGCTCTCTGTATCATCCAAAGGCTACACAATATATGCCCCGTGTATATCCTGCTCTCTGTATCATCCCAAGGCTACACAATATATGCCCCGTGTATATTCTGCTCTCTGTATCATCCCAAGGCTACACAATATATGCCCCGTGTATACTCTGCTCTCTGTATCATCCCAAGGCTACACAATATATGCCCCGTGTATACTCTGCTCTCTGTATCATCCCAAGGCTACACAATATATGCCCCGTGTATACTCTGCTCTCTGTATCATCCCAAGGCTACACAATATATGCCCCGTGTATACTCTGCTCTCTGTATCATCCCAAGGCTACACAATATATGCCCCGTGTATACTCTGCTCTCTGTATCATCCCAAGGCTACACAATATATGCCCCGTGTATACTCTGCTCTCTGTATCATCCCAAGGCTACACAATATATGCCCCGTGTATATTCTGCTCTCTGTATCATCCCAAGGCTACACAATATATGCCCCGTGTATACCCTGCTCTCTGTATCATCCCAAGGCTACACAATATATGCCCCGTGTATACTCTGCTCTCTGTATCATCCCAAGGCTACACAATATATGCCCCGTGTATATTCTGCTCTCTGTATCATCCCAAGGCTACACAATATATGCCCCGTGTATATTCTGCTCACTGTATCATCCAAAGGCTACACAATATATGCCCCGTATATATTCTGCTCTCTGTATCATCCCAAGGCTACACAAAATATGCCCCGTGTATACTCTGCTCTCTGTATCATCCCAAGGCTACACAATATATGCCCCGTGTATACTCTGCTCTCTGTATCATCCCAATGCTACACAATATATGCCCCGTGTATATCCTGCTCTCTGTATCATCCCAAGGCTACACAATATATGCCCCGTGTATACTCTGCTCTCTGTATCATCCCAAGGCTACACAATATATGCCCCGTGTATATTCTGCTCTCTGTATCATCCAAAGGCTACACAATATATGCCCCGTGTATATCCTGCTCTCTGTATCATCCCAAGGCTACACAATATATGCCTCGTGTATATTCTGCTCTCTGTATCATCCCAAGGCTACACAATATATGCCATGTGTATATTCTGCTCTCTGTATCATCCCAAGGCTACACAATATATGCCCCGTGTATACTCTGCTCTCTATATCATCCCAAGGCTACACAATATATGCCCCGTGTGTACCCTGTGTAACACATCAGAGGCGTAGCGACCCTTCCCGGCGCCCGGGGACAAACTTTTCGATTTGCACCCCCCCCCCTCGTGATTTCGATTTGCACCCCCCCCCCTCAAACTTTCAATTTTCACCCCCCTCAACCTTTCAATTTATTTTTCCAACCCATTTTGGCGCCCACTAAAAAGGTGGGCGCCCGGGGACATATGCCCCCCCGCCCCCCCCCCCCCTCGCTACGCTACCGTGTATCCCGTGTTTCCCCAGACGTGCCAACTGTTCGCGTACCCCTGCCAGATGAGCACCTGTGGGAACAGCTCACTTAACCAGCACAAGTGCGACTGCTCCACTTGTCACCCGACCGTCATCTGGTTCCTTGCCACCCCGACCCTGGCGTATCGACTCACTGCCAAAATCATGGAGAATAATACAGAGTTGGGACAAGTGGTCAGCAATGTCTTTTGGCCTGATGATGTTCATGGTATGGAACAGTTAGCATTGTCTTACGTATTACATATAGTTTAGCTTGGGTAAAACTAGGGGTTATGTCAAGTGTTTTAATTTAATTGAATTATGTTTTTTGACTACTTAAGCAACAGGCTCTATTAATTGGGCGATCAGCACGGAGTTTAAGAGTACTACTTGATTCGGGGATTTCTACTTGATTCAATTGTCAGGAGCTTCTACTTGATTCAGTTGTCAGGAGTTTCTACTTGATTCAGTTGTCAGACATTTATCCTCTATTCAATTGTCAGGAGTTTCTACTTGTTTCAATTGTCAGGAGTTTCTACTTGATTCAATTGTCAGGAGTTTCTAGTTGATTCAATTGTCAGGAGTTTCTACTTGATTCAATTGTCATGAGTTTCTACTTGATGCAATTGTCAGGAGTTTCTACTTGATTCAACTTATCCCCGAGATCCTCGTCATAGATTAAGGACATGGTGGGCTACTAGCGTGGACAAGCCTGGTCCCAACAACAAAGATCCAGGAAATAAAGCGCTGGCAGTGTTTTGATTTAAATAACTCCCTTTTTAAAAAAAAAAATAACAGGTCACACGTCTTTACAGTAATTAACAGTAATATCAAACATAAAAAGTGGGAGAAAAAATACAGGCTAAACTGGGAATTGGCTTATTTCTTGGGGGTGGCAGCTTTCTTTCAATATTATAGTATTTTTCAATATTTTAATAGCTGCAGAAAAAAACAGCTTCTTAATTAAAACCTTTAATTGATTTATAACTTGAGTACTATTTCAGACAGATAAATGAAATTTCACATGTAAGTAAAAGATCTAATTATCTGCCTTGAGGCTAGACACGCCCCTCCACCCCACCCCACCGCGATTCAACATTTCGCGGTTTCCATGGCAACCAGTACTGCTATTGACGGCTATATATTATTTTTGTCTGTAGTTTAACAACTATAAACATATGAACTTATTAAAAACCCCGAAATGTGTTAAAATATTCAATCCGTGGTGCCTATCCTTAATAATACTAGGCCCCCCTACCTTCATTTACATTGTTTTCCTCAGGCAATGGAGGAACAGATATATATATCATTGTATATATATTAATTGGTGTGATCGTTTTATTTGCTGTCACGTTTGGCGTAACATTTACAATGTACGTAAAACTATGCAGAAAGGACTCGAAGTCAACCGTAGCTGCTGGAACAAACACAGAAGGTCTCTCTTTTTGTCTCGATATCTCTAGCAATACAATACAGTACAGTTGTACAGTACACAACACAACAAAATATAATATAATATAATAATAATAATAATTTTTTTAGCAGAACCGCAGAATGAATTAAGGTTGGCACGGATGGAAAAAGAGGTATGTAGCCATTTAACTATTTCTTTTGTGTCTGTTTTTTTGCGTTCTGTTCACATTTTTCTTTGATTTTGTGTTTTCTTTTGTGTTTGCGTTTGTATTTGAATTTGCGTTTGTCCGTTTTTGTTTTCTTTTGTGTTTGTATTTGTGTTTTCGTATGCTTTTGTATTTGTGTTTGCGTTGTGTTTTCTTTTATGTTTCCGCTTATGTTTTTGTTGTGTTTACGTATTGTTTGAGTTTGCGTGTGTTTGCGTTTGTTTTCTTTTGCATTTGTGTTTGTATTTGCTTTGGTGTTTGAGTTTTTGATCTGTTGCCAAATTAATATATATTAAGTATATTAGAGAAACTTCTCTGTTCATGATTTGAATTTTAATATTTTTTTTCCGCTTACTAGATACAAGAATGTTAAGACACCAAATCCTCTCTTCAACAGCAACTTGCAATCGCAATAGAAGGCTTAGAAAGAATTGCACAGGGAGGTAGGTGTTATAACTGAATAAATTATTTGTGTCCCGCCCCCACCTGAATTGTGACAGGAAGGCATTCCCATCCCATGTAACAATTTGCAGGTCGCTTGTTACTGCCCTTAATGTTACAGGTCCAGTCTATGATGAGTTACTGCCCTTAATGTTACAGGTCCAGTCTATGATGAGTTACTGCCCTTAATGTTACAGGTCCAGTCTATGATGAGTTACTGCCCTTAATGTTACAGGTCCAGTCTATGATGAGTTACTGCCCTTAATATTACAGGTCCAGTCTATGATGAGTTACTGCCCTTAATGTTACAGGTCCAGTCTATGATGAGTTACTGCCCTTAATGTTACAGGTCCAGTCTATGATGAGTTACTGCCCTTAATGTTACAGGTCCAGTCTATGATGAGTTACTGCCCTTAATGTTACAGGTCCAGTCTATGATGAGTTACTGCCCTTAATATTACAGGTCCAGTCTATGATGAGTTACTGCCCTTAATGTTACAGGTCCAGTCTATGATGAGTTACTGCCCTTAATGTTACAGGTCCAGTCTATGATGAGTTACTGCCCTTAATGTTACAGGTCCAGTCTATGATGAGTTACTGCCCTTAATGTTACGTGTCCAGTCTATGATGAGTTACTGCCCTTAATGTTACAGGTCCAGTCTATGATGAGTTACTGCCCTTAATGTTACAGGTCCAGTCTATGATGAGTTACTGCCCTTAATGTTACAGGTCCAGTCTATGATGAGTTACTGCCCTTAATGTTACAGGTCCAGTCTATGATGAGTTACTGCCCTTTATGTTACAGGTCCAGTCTATGATGAGTTACTGCCCTTAATGTTACAGGTCCAGTCTATGATGAGTTACTGCCCTTAATGTTACAGGTCCAGTCTATGATGAGTTACTGCCCTTAATGTTACAGGTCCAGTCTATGATGAGTTACTGCCCTTAATGTTACAGGTCCAGTCTATGATGAGTTACTGCCCTTAATGTTACAGGTCCAGTCTATGATGTGTTACTGCCCTTTATGTTACAGGACCAGTCTATGATGAGTTACTACATTATGACACTTAATGTTACATTGTGTGTGATTGGCCTTACAATTGTTATGTTACGGAATATGCGATGTGTTGTAGGGACAAAACGATACATAGTAGTTACTGGTATATGGACACAATTCATTAGGTTATGTCCACTTGTGTTGAATTCTTGCCTTATAAATAACGATGTTTATTTATATATATATATATATATATATATATATATATATATATATATATATATAAATATATATATATATATATATATATATATATATATATATATATATATATATATACATTACGATTTCTAGAACATATTATAGTCGTGATATTTATTTTTAAAATTGTAAGCATAAAGCGACACTAGGCCAATAGCTAGCTTAGCAAACGACTGGTAACTGCTTGCATGTTTCTCGACCAACATTTCCCAAACATCAAGGTATAAGGGGATTCGTGATGCGAACCTAAATCGTTACGTGTTTACATTCAATGTATAGTAGGTTTGGTGCTGCAAACCTAAATCTTGACATAATTACACTGTTGTAGTTAGCTCCCCTAGACTTACTCGTATCCCTCTGTGACAGTAGCGGTTAAGCTTGGACTCCAATAGAATGGGCCATAGAACTGGGACACAAGTCTGGTATAAAAACCGTATCAGTTTTCGAAACAACATACAATCTTCTTAATGAAAATTGTATACACGTATAAAGTTCTCAAGGTTTTTGAGTGACCGGAATAAAGTACCATTTCCGGAAATCGCGCAAAAGCTGAAACATCCGGAATGGATTAAATATATATTATGGATTATATATATATATATATATATATATATATATATATATATATATATATATATGTGTGTGTGTATTTTTTAGTAAAGTGATACTCAAATTACTGGGTTTACTCACATACACAGACACACAAATCACAGATAAAAGTTGTGTTCAGCAACACATACAGACACACAGACACACAGACTCACAAATCACAGATAAAAGTTGTGTTCAGCAACACATACAGACACACAGACACACAGACTCACAAATCACAGATAAAAGTTGTGTTCACCAACTCAGATCTCTGTGTAAAGTGTCAACATTTTGAAAGTTTCTCGATTTCGATCATTCCACAATTACAATGCCACTTCCAGTATGTGATTCAATGTGGCATGTATTAATAGTTAATAGTGACAATTACTACTCATTCACACTCTCCCCTCACCCGATATTACCACCCCGGAGATATTACCACTCGTCCAGTTATGGATAAATTAGGACAAGGGTTATGTTAGGGTTAGGGCTTGTGTTAGGGTTAAATGTAGGTTTAGAGTTTGAGTTAGGGTTAGTTATATGCTTACAGTTTGGGGTTAAGATCAGGGTTCTTCAGCATAAGGGGGGGGGAGGTATTTGACAGGTGGTAATATCCTAGACCCGAAGCTGACACATATCATTATCATCAACAGGTCTAGACTTGCCCAAAACATGAACAACCAAACGTCCCTGTGAGAATTGAAAAAAAACCTAGAGCAAGATATTATTTTCCACTAGAGGCTTCTGAAAACACAGTCTCAAATAAATGTTATTGACAATGGTTATGGAGAATGGACAATAGATATAGATTGAAATAAAGATCCCAATTTTTTCGGCAATTAAACCCTTGTTATTTTGAGTGCTTGGTAGATCTGATTATCGATCATAGTAAACTGTACATGCTACAGTACGGGATTCCTTTTCAACTCATACGCAAGACATCTGTACCATTTTGAGAATAAAACTTGTGATGGGATACCATGTACTTCTAAACTTTGAACACTACTAGTCCACTGAACCTGATCTCCATGTTTCATACGTTGATAATGTGATGCCAAGATAAAGATTTGAAGACAAAAAGCCAATAATACGTAACTGTGACAAGAATTCAACGCTAGCTACAATGCGATGCCAAAATTTAAAAAAAATGCAAAAGATAGCGAGAGCTCCCATGTAGGGATTACATGAAAGAAATATCACCTCATAACGTGAGAGGCAATAAGTTAACTTCAACCCCACAACCTGAACACAGGTTGATAAATGAAAGAAAGAAAAAAATCCATGAGTTAAGCATATGTGCAACAGAAAAGATTGATGTTCAGAGAGGACAACGTGGGTGATGTCAACCATGTTTGCATGTGTTACAAAACATCACGTGACTGCTTCCAAAAACTCCATTCATAGATGACTATACACTTATAAAGAACATACTTGTGTTCTCATTACTGATATTTTCACTTTCTAATGTACCAGATCAACAAAGAAACGCTCTATCACTTTTAAAATAAGAATATTGACATGACTCACAACGCAATAATTTTCCCTTGGCGCCCATAGTGACACAAATGTCCCATGCTGTATCTCAAAAACTATTTAAGACATCGAAAAAAAGTTAACATTCTTAAATTCTACGTGTCATTTTACTACTAAATGAGTGCACAGATATCTGAAATCATGCGGCCAATCTTTGTGGTCCTGAAAGGGTTAAAGGGTTTGTTAGTATGTGGTTCAATGCGGCGTGTATTAAAGGGTTTGTTAGTATGTGGTTCAATG